TCCCTTTTTGCCCCCCCCCCCCCCCCCCCCAAATGAAAAAAGTTGATAATAAAAGTACATGTTTAAGTTTAAAGTTTACAATATGTATCATATTCTATGATTCTCTGCTTTAACTGGCTTTTTCAATTAACCAAACAAGTATCAATTCCAATCATATCAGGTAAAATATAGCCCTTTCACTCCCACACTCCCCAGCCAGTAGAATCAGGTCAAAGAGATGGGATTCTCCCACTTCTTCTGAATGTATACCCTTCAGGAAATCTTTTTGGTCATTTCTTTCCCCTTTCAAGATTACTCTGGATACTCTAATTACCTTGATTTGATCTGCATGAGACATTGGGAAATAAAGGCATACACAGTGTGATTGACCAGCCCCCACTTTCTTCCTCCAATAACCCTATCTGACAACTTCAATTTTTGCCTCCCTGGGAGTCTGTTTCTATTGTGTTTGTTTTTTTAATTCTAAAATATTAATTTTCATTTTGTTCCACCTACCTTTCCCTAGTTAATATCAGACTTTAATTAGTATCTAACTCTTTATTAGCTATTTCTATTGCCTCTATTTCTTCTCTCATCTCCCTCCTTAATCCCTTCTAATTGGCTCATCTTCTTAACACTTCTAAGTTAAATTAATCAATTAGATTCCTCCTGATCAAAGTTTGATGATGTTTCTTTGATGCTCTGATACAATTCCTTAGCACCTTTACACCTTGACCCAAACACTTCTGTGTGTATTCTCTCATAATTCCTTTTACTTGGCTCACAGTTTCACCCAAACTCTTAACTGTGGGAGTCTTTCAAAGCTCTTTTCCTTAAAAGTTCAACTTAGTGATTTTAATTACCATTTATACATGAGTTATCTCCCAGCTACATCTGTATTCTAAGATCTTTTATCCCACAAAATGTTTCTCCCTTTTGGAATTTTCCTATTTGCTTTTGCAGCCATTCTAGCATAGGGATCCCACTTTCCCATACAGCTGGCAAGTTAGAAAAAGAGAAGAGATGAAAACTTGGGGGAGTCATGATGGAAAAGAATCTTGACTTCTTGTGGCACATGAAAGTACATTACTGAGTGCTTACTGATTCCAGGTACTAAACAAAGTGCTTTATATGCATGATCTCATTTAATATTCACACAACCCTAAACAGTAGGCATTATTATTATCCCCATTTACAGAAAAGTAAATCATAGCTTACAGAGGTTGAGAAAGTTTCTCTACTAAGTGGAAGAGCTGAGACTCAAAGCCAAGTCTATAACACTAAAACACATGCTTTTACCCACTCTGTTATAGTGCCTCAACGATCACTTCCTTAAAAACAATGTTAGCTAGGAAGCTCGTGGGAGCATCCCTGGCTTCCCAACATTGAATATATCTTACCTGGAAACAGACTAAACCACAGAGAGCAAGAACACGTCCTTTCATGCCACGGCTGAGCCAGCCCTTTCTCCAAAAGTAGGCAGCAGGCAGGATGTATGCGAGGCCTACAAGACGACCCCACATTCGGTGTGAATACTCCATGTACCAGATGAACTTGAATTCTGCCAACGTCATCTCATGATTCAAGCTAGGTGAAAGGGGAAGTCAAAAAAGAAGAAAGAGGAAACATCCATCTCATGTTTATTTTCCTATGGAATGCCCAAACATTCTCAGTCTTGCAGCTTGGTAGGTCTGCTCTGTTCCTCATCAGCAATCTCAGAATAACTCTGGAATTGTAGCCTTACAGTAGGGAGCTCATTAAACGTAACTGAACCAAAGATGAAGAAATAAAGAAATCGAACCATTCTGAAGGGTTTAAATAAGCAAAAGATTAAATGGGCTTAGTGGGATGTTTACCTTATTTTCTCTAATACTTACATTTTAAATTCTGGAAATTGCTGATATCTTTGGAATTCTGCTTCCCATTCCTCTTGGCTTGTAGGTGGTTTCATCTCCTTTATTAAATGCCAGTCTACCATCGAGAGGCCAGACTCTGTCAATCTTAGGATAGGAAAGAAATTTTGGAGTACGTGTGTGATGCTGGAATAAATGGTTTACAGCAACAAGTAGATCTGAACCTAAACCTGCTAAAGGTAAACACGTCATTTCATTGTTTCCTCTTTTGACATCTTTCTCTCTTACTGCTTAGAATTTTGGCAGAAATGGCTGCCATCAGGTACAAATTTCTTTACCCTCTTATTCTCTCAATACTTTCATTCAACTCTCCCCATTTATTTCTTTCACTAGCATTCCTTGACAGGAACAATCAACAGTTCTCCAAAGAAATGTGTCCTAAATGCATAACCAACATTCTTTACCCAGGGAAAAGAGATTTGTTACAGGTATACAGATTTACATTCCTGAGTGAATTTAAGACAATACAACTCAAATTTGATGCAGTTTCCCATAACAGCCTATATAACACATAAGGTATTTTAAAATTAGGGCACAGAGAATGTGAACAGAATTTGAGGATCATACACTTTATCCAAACCAGAAAATATTTTCACCAAAAGGAGTTAGATTTCCTAAAGTAAAAGGCTAGTTTTAGGACTGAGGCAAGAAATGTACAAGATGAGCCTGGAACATCTTATCATACCAGACAGCAAGGAAGGCATTACAGGTAACTAGGTCCCTGACAAAAAGATGAGGGAGCCAATTTCAAAAGATCCCCACTGACTGACTCAAGATGGGACAACTTGAGCAAATCATCAACACCATCATTGCAATGGATTGAAACATACCAAATTTGTTTAAAATTATGGGCTCATACTAATACTTAAAAACTCAAACACTTTATTTGCCACCTTTGGAGGATCTTGGGAACAAAGGTATTTGAATATTGGCAAAGGGAAAGAATCAAGTATTTATCTTGATTTTCCCATACAAACTATACCTTGGGATAACCAAATTGTTGATGAAGGAAAGGTTTTCTTTAGAGTTGAGCTAATAAAATATTTTGGAACTCTAATGAAATAATGGTAATCAATGGCTGTTGACATCTCCAATAGACACCATATATTCATGAATGTTTTAATCACCTATGAAGTATTTTGTCCCCTCATTCCCAATCTGAATTTGATCAAGCAACTACCCATTTACAGGATATATAGGAGACAAAGGGACATGTTAAACATCGGCACAAGTATGCAATCAGCAAAATCCAGACTGTAGGTAACTGTAGGACAAAGGACTTGAGTTTCTTCAACAACAAAAATGGGGAGGAGGGAAGACAGCCTAAATCTACAAAGTTCTTTATAAATTTAAAGAGCCTTAAGAGGCACATGAACCAACTGTGATGTATGAAACTTATCTGGGTTTAATTCAAACAAACTATAAAAAAAAGTTTTGATATAAATTAGAACTCTGATTGGAGAAGGAAAATATACACAAACAATGCACAGTTACCAATTTAGATCTAAACCAGTCTTTACAAAAGGCTCTCCTGCTAATAAGACTCTAAACTGTTCTAAGGCAGAGCAAGCCATCAGACATGTTCCCTCTTTAAGGCCTGTTTCTCCACCTGTAAAATGAGAGAGCTAGTCTAGATGATCCTTCAGGTCCCTTTCCCCTCCGTCATCCTGTGCTTCAACTGATGACACAAATACCTGATTCACTCTGAGCAAATTACTCACCTAGTTACTCCACCAAGAATTACTGCTCCAGCCACTGTTCCACTGCAGACCAGGAGCCACTGGCCTACCACCCGCTCAGCAGCTTTTGAGGGAAGGGACACTGTACCCCTTCCAGACTGCAAAGCTGCTTCAGAGATGGTGCTGTATTGCCCTGGCCTCAGAGGGCGCCTGATACCACAGCTGCAACCACACTATGGATCAAGACAGACAAATTACAACTGGAGAAATGGGGAAGTGCTGCTACCTACACTCAACCCCATTCTGACTGGGATGAAGTACCCTGTATGGCTGCATCTCTACAGCTACTGCCCTGGGGTAAATCTTCTCTTAACAACTTATCACTGCATCCATCTTCCAACTGGTTTTCCTGCTTCAAGTCTTTCCTCACTCCAGACCATCCCCACATTACATGAATCTCTGGTTTCTGCATACTTCTCCCAGACTTCACTCTACACCTAGACATGGGTTTTCTTTCTCCTCTGGATCTTTAAACGTGATTTCTCTCTGTCTGGGACATTCCCTGTCCCCTGATTGATAATACCTACTGCAGATCTCAGCTTAGATGTCACCTCCGCTAAGTGTTCCCAGACTCTCCAAGGTGTCCAGCAGGTTATTTACAGCACACTGTACCTCCCCTATCACAGCCCTTATCACATTTTAATGTAACTTCAGGTTCATCTGTCTGTATTTCCCACTAAACTATGAGCCCTGGATGGCAGGGTCTGGTCTTGCTCTTTCCTTCCTGCTGCCTTTGTTTCTAACACTGTTCCCTTACATAAATGACCTTAATAAAGATTTGACAAATGAATTATCAAATGAATGAAGTGTGACTTCTTCCAGGGCAGGAGTCTTGTGGTATGTATCTTTCTCTTCCCAGTTTCATAACACATGATAATTAGTCAATAATTATTAGTTAAGCGAATACACATAATCTTCTAACTCTATCCTTTAAGAGTCCAAGATCCACGTTCAGTTTCCTACTTTTAATTAACTGGGTAACTTTAGACAATTTAATTTAAGTAACTTAAATTAAGCCTGAAGTTCCTTCTCTGTAAAATGCGATTATTGTTCCTAACCTACTTGGGGGCTTTTAGCAAAAATCAAATATAAGGGTAAAAATTACCGAGCTTTTACCACGTGCTAAAGGCTTGATGTATATTCAATTATTTAATCTTCACAACAACTCCATGTAGTAGGTATTGCTGTCCCCATTTTACAGATAGGGAAATTGAGGCCCAGAAAGGTTAAGTTACTTAGACAATATCATACAGTTAGCATGCGGTACTCGGGATCCAAACTCAGGGGCTCTGGACACAAGGAAATGCGTTGTGAAACGTGAAGTGGGGCTCATTATTGTCTTTATCACGGCCCTTTTACCCCGTCCCGGCTTCTGGTCTCGGAGTCCGCTGCGGTGAGGTACCTGTGCTCTAGGCGCTGCTCTAGGAAGCAGGAGCCGGAGACACGGGCCCCCCACGAAGGCCTTCAAGGGCGGAAAAAGCAACCGCTGCATACTGACAGTGCACAGACGCCACCTGCACACCCCTGCGCTCAGCAGTGTCCGTTCTCCACTACCGAAAAGAGAAGTACTTCCGGGTCAACTACCGAAAAGAGAAGCACTTCCGGGTCAAGCAGCGCGGGCGCCGTCTTCTCAGGAGGCCGGAGTATGTCGTGACTGCGCCTGCGGGGGCAGCTCCGCTTTCGCAGGGGGTGCTGGGGCATAGGCGTCGGGGACGCGCAGAGGCGCGCGCAGCTGTTGAGGACGCGTCTCTCCTGTTGCGCGCGCCAGAACCCAGGCTCGGAGTGGAAACCGAAAGCGCGCGTGGGAAGAACGCATGGAGTATGAAGAGGCAGGGGGTTTCCTCCGAGCGGAAACGGGCGCGGATGCCGTCGGGAAAGGCCGGTGCGGAAGATGGCGGGGGAGGGGGCGGTCGGCCGACTTGGCTTCCCCGGGCGCTATCCCCCGGTGGAATTTCGTCAGCTCCTCACAGCCCCTTATGCGGCACGTTCTATCTATCTCTGCGGCCTGACGAGGGGCAGGTAGCGAGAAAGGCCGGGCTCTGGAGCCTAAGTATGGGTCGGAATCCCGGCGCCACCACGTACAGGCAGTCGTGTGACCTGGTGCAAGTTGGTTAACTTCTCTCAGCCTCACGTTTCTTATCGCCACACGAGGAGACCGGGACCCACCTCACCACCGCTGCGCTAGTTAAATGTCCAGCGCGGAGCCTGGTGCCTAACCTGTGGTGACCGCTCAATAACCTGTAGCTGCTACGGCGGGGGTGGGGCGTGTCCCCAGAGCCGCACCGCTGCCAAGTGACAGAGCTTGTGGTTGCTCCAAGTCCCGACTTCTTCCTGCCGCGCCAGGGGAGGGTGTCATGGCAGGTGCCAGAGAATTTGGCAAATCCCTCCTCCTCGAACTCTTGGTTCCTCCAGACCAGCGGTTCTCAAACTTTGATGTCGGGATCCCTTTATCCTCCTAAAAGTTGAGAACCTCAGAGATCTTTCCTTTATATTGAATGTATCTATCGATTTTGACGGTGTTAGAATTTAAATCTTTAAAATGTTTATTGGTTGAATAATTAGAAAAAAACTATAATGAGCCCATTACATATTAACATAAATAACCTAATTTTATGAAAAATAAATATTCCTAAACAAACAAAAAAAATAGCGAAAGTGTGGCAATATTTTATATTTTTGAAAATCTCTTTAATATCTGGCTTAATGGAAGATAGCTCGATTCTCGTACCTGCTTCTGCATTCAATCTGACACGTGAAGTAATTTAACGGAAAACTCCACTTGTGAGAGAACAAGAGTGAAAAAGGCAAATAAAGTCTTAGTATTATTATGAAAATAGTTTTCACCCTACAGACTGAAAGAGTTACAGTGGCCCCCAAAGCTACCTGGACTACAACACTTTGGTGCTTCAAACAAATGTCTTCTCCTTGTTTGATCCCTACAAGTAACTTTGTTGCTTAGGACAACTGCCTTACCCTGCCTTTTCTCGTTGCCTTTTGTATACATCTTCACCGTCTCCTGGCCATCTTCATCCTCTCCTGGCCAGGGTGCTTTCTTGTGTATGGCAAATGGTACCCCTGAAGCATTGTCCACTTCCGTGGATCTGACAGCGGGTGTAGTAGCTGTCAGGAAACCCATGGAGTTAATGCAGGATGTTAAGAGCACAGATGGACACTTAACTCAGTTTGGGACTGATATTAGCAGATAGTAGATTTTGTTTTGTTTTTCAAAGTAAAAATTGCTTTTTTTAAATTATAAAAGCAATTTTGGTTAGAAAAATTCAAGCAGTATAGAAAAGTAAACAGAAGAAAATAAAAATAATTCCAAATCCCACCATCCAGTAGTAACTACTACCAGTATGTGGCAAACATTATTTTAGGTATCATTGTGTGAAGTATGTATTCAATATCCTTAACTTAAAAAACGTGTGTGCTTAACTTATAGAAAAACGCAAAACTCTGTTTACATCACTTTTTATATAAATACATGAATTTTTATGAATTTGTAATTATTCAGCCTTTAGTAAATAATTGAGGTGACTATTGTGTACCATGGTAGACACTGTGCTTGCTGTGGGTGATGATGATTTCTTACATAAAGACCTTAATTAGGAACTTTAGGTTAAGTAAAAATGATCAGACACTTATCTGCATAAATGATAAGAGGTAGAAAGTAATTAGTGTTTTAAAGAGGAATAATTAGTGTCTTAAAGGGTTATGTTTCTCTTTAAAACACTAATTGTTCCTCTTTAAAACACTTTCTGTCTCTTGTTATTTATGCAGATAAGTGTCTGATAACTCTTTGTTATAGGAGTTCAAAAGAGGGAGATACAATTTCCTAATTTGGGAGAGGAAAAATCATGTAATTGTGATTTGATATGAGCCTTGGAAAATTTTTGCATTCAGAGATGAAGCTGGAAAGACTTTGTGTGTTGAGGAAATGGTATAAGCAAAAGCAGGGATAGGAATTGGAGAGAACTGCAAGTGTATAGAGGACATAATGTATAGTTTATTAATGATAACTAATACTTTTTGAATTCTTAGTGGGTACTGTGGATTTTACGTGAATTATCTCATTCAATCCTCACTACTCTAGAGTAGTTACTAAACCTACCCTGTTTGGTAGGAAACTTAAGTAACTTGTCTAGGATCATGCAATAAATAAGATTTGGGACCAGGATTTGAAGTCCATCCCTGTTTTTAAACATATATTCCTCATAAAGAAGTTTAAACATTTTCTACAGGCACTGAGAAGCATTGTAAGAATCTGAGCTGGAACATGATTATGAGATCTGTGTTTTAAGAAGATTAATTTGGAAGTAGTGCATATTTTCCTTAGTATAATTTCTTATGCGTATGTCCCTGTACCTATTTCTCAGTCCAGAGACATCAGTTTAATAATTAGTGTGGTATTTTATTGTGCTCATGGACCCTAGTGTACTTATCTATTTCCCTATTGGACATTTGGATTTTGGCAGTGAAATGTAAAATATACATGGTGATTGGCCTGGATGGATAGTACCTTTATGATTTTGCATTGTTGTTTACATATTTTAGGAGCAGCAAATGGATTTCTCATGGAAGTGTGTGTTGATTCAGTGGAGTCAGCTGTGAATGCAGAAAGAGGCGGTAAGAGAAATTAGAGAACGAGTGACAGTTGGCAGTACTTTTAAGAGTCTGAAAATGAATCTTATGAACTGACCTCGGAAACCTTTGTGATATATGAGGATCCTAGTAATCCTTTCTCAGACAACCAACTAGAAAATGTACTGGAAAATTATGGTCTAGTTCCTCCCCTCCCTTCCTTCAGCAAGTCACATTTTGAGTCAAAACTTCAAATAGTGCTTACATACTAACTTCATTTCTTAACAAAAATTTAATTTTTTTAAAGCATTATTTTTTTTTTTAAAAGATGACCAGTAAGGGGATCTTAACCCTTCACTTGGTGTTGTCAGCACCATGCTCACCCAGTGAGCGAACCGGCCATCCCTATACAGGATCCGAACCTGTGGCCTTGGTGTTATCAGCACCACACTCTCCTGAGTGAGCTAGGGGCCAGCCCTTTTTTTTTTTTAACATTACCTGTTTTTACCTCAAAGTTTCTTTTGTACTCTGAACTTGTAATAGGAAGCATAGTGTAGTAGTCCAGGTTTCTTTTGCTTATAACAAAATACTTGAAACTGGGTGATTTATGAAGAGAACAAAATTTATTACTTACAGTTACTGAGGCTGGCAAGTCCAAAGTCCATCTGGTGGTAGTGACAGTGACCCGGGGGTCTCACATCACAAGATGGTAGAAGTGGAGACAGCAGAGAAAGACAGACTCTCTTCTGTCTTCTTTTAAAGCCCTCAGAACCACGCCCCTGGCCACCATTTTTAATCCATTCTCTATGGCATGGTCCTACAATCTAATCACTTCTTCAAGGTTCTACCTTTTAATTACCCTAGTAGGAGTTCCCACCCTCCTAACAGTCACAGTGGGACCAAGTTTCTAATACATAAAACTTGGGGGACACAATTCAAGCTTCATTGAGCTTTGGGGGGACATAATTTAATCCTCTACAAATAGGCATTTCCATCATCTCAGAAATTTTTAAAATTTTTTATTATGGAAAAATTTCAAACATAAGTAAAAGTAAAGAGAATAGTATGTACCATCACTCAGCTTAGCCATTTTGAAGACATGGACAATCTTTCACATATATCAGGGGTCAGCAGATTTTTTCTGTGAAGAGCCATGTAATGTGTATTTTCAGCTTTGCTGGACACATTTGTTCTCTGCCACTTATGCTTCTTTGTTTTTTTAAAACAATGGTTTGAAAATGTAAAAACCATTTAATTTTTAAAACTTTTAATTGGCAATAAAAAGCAATGAAGTACTTATACATGCTACAATATAGATGAATCTTGACACATTATTCTAAGTGTAAGAAACCAGTCACAAAATACCACCTATTGTATGATTCCATTTATATGAAACGTCTAGAATAGGCAAACTTATGGAGACAGAAAGTAGATTAGTGGTTGCTGAGAGGGCATGGGGAGAAGGGAGGTGACTGCTAAAGGGTGTGGGGTTGTTTGAGGGGTGATGAATATATTCTAAAATTACTTGTGATGGTGGCAAAACTGTGAATATACTAAAGAGCACTGGATTACACACTTTAAATGGGTGAATTATATGGTATGTGAATTATATGTCAATTAAGCTGTTATTTTTTAAAAACACAAGAATATTCTTAGCTTGCAGGCCATAACAAAAACAAGCTATGAACCTTTGGTTTGAGGGCCATAGTTTGCTGACCCATTATCTATATTCCTACTTTTCTTCTCCTACCCCCAAATTATTTTGAACCAAATCCCAGACATCATGTCATTTTGTCCTTAAATATTTCAATATGTATCTCTAAAAGATAAGGACTCCTTTCGTCGTTTCAGTTATTATTTTCAAAGGACTTATGTGTATACATACAAGAAATCCATAAATAGTGCGGAAATTATTAATGTATATTATTTAAGATAAGGACTCTTC